TAAATTATAAATTATATAAATTGGCTAGCATTACTATTATAAAATTATATATAAAATTATGTATATCTATAACGTATGTAATATACTGGTTAAACATATAAAATCTATGCAAAAATAACGTATATAATATACTGATTTGATATATAAAATTTAACAAAAATTATGTATACATTATACTGATTAGACGTATAAATTCCGTATTTTTTTGCATACGAAAAAAGTCAATTTTCAGTATCTTGTATACAGAATTATTTACGAATTTATTATACTGTTTTTCTACATTTTTTATACATTTTTAAACGTATTATTTCTGTATACTTTCCTTATACTGATTATTTATAGGGAAGAGTATTATAAAGAAGATGAAGAGGATGATGAAGAGGATATAAATTATAATAATGTTAGTATTTAAAGTGTTAAAACAATAAAATCAATACAAATTCAATATAAAAATAATGGATTACCTTCAAATTCTCAATATTCAGCTTTTGTTGATATTACAAATACTATTTCAGGGGCTACAACTACAGGACATAAAATATTAAGAGAAGCTGCTCGCCGAGATCTTCAAATTTATACTAATAAAATGGCAAATCAAATGAATAAGAGAAGGAAACGGCCAAATGAATATGCAATAGGAGATTTAGTAAAAATTGTAATTCCAAAGATAGACCGTGTTAGTATTGATCATCCTACATTCCCTTGTAAAATTATGGAAGTAACAAAGAATAACCAATATATTTTAGGATCAAAACATTGTATTATTAATATATATTATTCACTCAGAGAAATTGAACCTCTTAGTACAAAGAATTTTGCTGAACTCAATAATATACCTTCCAATAAAGTTTCTGTTAGAGAAGCTGCACATTTTCAAAGTACTGGCACAGTTACAGGAATTATTTGTAATTGTAAAAGCAAATGTAATAGTAAGAAATGTCGTTGCAAAAAATCAGAAAAAAATTGTGAAAGTAGGTGTCATAGTGGACGCTTGTGTTAAAACAAATAATTTTTTATACTTATATTACAATATAAATGTATTACAAAGTTAAATAAAGTATATTTAGTATATGCTGTTTATTATTACACGTTAAATTAAAAATTACGCAAAAAAAAAGTTTAAAAAAAATTTGCGTCAGATGATAACTGACATAAGTCAGGTGACAACTAATGTGCCTCATATTTCGATTGACAGGTTACGCACATTAAATGCCAATTGATAAATGAGGTGCGTCATCTGTCATCTAACGCAAAATGATAGATGACGCACAACATATATATATTACAATTTTTTTTTTTTAATACAAATGGAAGCTTTGTGATAGAAAAGAAGAAAATTCTAAAAAATTATTTTTGAATTAATATTAAATCTGAAATTATTTTACTAAAAAATCATAATTAGCTTAAAAAGTAAATTTTTAATTTTTTAGAGTTTTCTCACTTTCTATTACAAAGCTCCTAAATAATCCATATTTTATATTATTTTAAATTATTATAAATTTTTTTATTTTTATTAAACTTATTATTTATAATTAATTATAAATATATGAAATCAAAATGAAAACTCAAAAGTTTAAAACATTTTGATTTTAAAAGTTAAAGTCAAAATAAAAATCAAAATAGTTAAAATAATATCATTTGATATGATTTTTCATGTTAAATAAAAATAAAAAATAAATAGTTTTGATCATTATTCTTCTAATTCTCATAAAGTAATTATTATTTAATTTTTTAAGAATTTGCTGATTTTATTTTAGTTAATAATAACTAAGATCCTATTGTAAATTATATTGTAATAAATTCTAGTTTAACCTCTAGCTAAAACATTATAGTAAATTAGTCTACAGGATTTATCAGTTGAATGAATGTTATAGAATATATGTAAATTATATACATAATAGATCTGAATTTATAGAATATAATAATCTTAGCTAAAGATGATCTATAATTATATTGAATTTAGACAAAAAAAAATCTGTAGTAGTTAATATTATATTGTCTGCTCATAAGAGTAATATTTAATAGTAAATATTATGTAATTATATATTATAATTAAAGATAATACTATAACTTATTTGAAAAATCTGTAACTAATTGCAATCCAATTTGTAATCTAAAAAGTTATAACTAATTGCAGACTTTTATATATAAATTCTTATATTTAAGATTCTGCAACTGGTTGCAACCTAGTAATATCTTTAATTATAACATTTTAAAAAAGCAGATGTTTATAGTTGTAATTTAATATTAAATTATATTTTTTATCATCATAATCTTTAAATTATATGTAAATAGTAAAAATTAGATTTGATTTTTAGGTTATTAGAGTTATAGGTATTGATATCACCTGATTATATGTTATCTATATAATATAATAACTCTCAGAACATAAGTTATATAAGATATATAAACTGATTTATCAGATCTTGATCTAGTTAATATATAATTATATAGTAAAAATAATAAGGATTAATTAACACTATAACTGAAATTATCATTATATCCAATAGTACAGCTGAATATATAATATGCTAGAGTATCTGATTAATAGCTATAGAATATCTCTTACTTTAAAATTAATACTTATTAGACAGATTTTAAATATATTAAATATGCTTAAAATAAAGTTATAGAAGTATTCATATTATGATAATATCTATAAATAAACCTAATTTAAACTTAAAAATAACTTTAAAAATCTCTTAATATTTTCTAACTTTATTGATTAATTTGACTATCCTTTCTATTAGTCTCAAATCCTAAGTAAAGTTAAATAAAAAATTATTTGTTTTTTATGATTAGATAGATCTAATAAGCTAATTTTCATTAAATTTAAATTAGTTAATTTTGAGATAATTGTGATTAAATTTTAAAATTCAGACTCTGAATTATTAACTAAATTATTAACTTTCTAACTATTTAGCTATTTTTCTTTCATAACAATTTCTTATTTTATTTATATAAAATATTTAATTTACTTCTATTGTTAATTAAAGATTAAGTAAAATTATATAAACTAAAAAAATATTATAAACTTTATCAACTTTGTTAACTTTGTTAACTTTGTTAATTATATTAACTAATAAACTAATAAAAAAAAATAATTAATTAAACTTAGATAACCATATAAATTTGATTAATAATATTAACTTCATTTTTAAGATTTCAGTCATTTTGATTATTAAATTGCAACTTAAAAAATTATGGTTTTCTTTGTTAATGATCTTTAAAATAATTCTAGCAATTATTCTTTCTTTAGTATCTTATTTTTGATTGATCTAATAATCTTAAAATTTATATTTTTTGAAAAGTTTTCAATAGACAATTCTAATGATTGCATTTTTATTAAAAATATAATCTTTAAATCAAAAATTATTTATTTAACAATAACTTACGAAATAATTATTATTCAAATTTTTTTATTATGCTAAATCTAATAAACTAAAATATATTAATTTTAAATCAACTGATTATAAGATATTTTGTAAGTAAATTTCAAATTCTGATTCCTTTATTTCAAATGAAATTTATGGTATTATAATATCAGCTAAAATTTAATTGTATAAACTTAAATCTATTTATTTAATGATTTTAATTTAAAAAAAAATTAAAAAAATTATTTAAATAATAAATATAAAAAATCACTATTAAATTTAATTTAAAGTTAAATATTAATAAAATTATTAGTTAATAATATAAATATTACTTAAATTTTTCATAAATAATATTTTTATTTATAGTAAATATAAATTATGTTTTTAAATAAAATAATATTATAAAAGTGTTTTATATAACTAAATATCTAATAAAATTTATATATAAGATATACTGTATATAGAATAATTAATTTTATATGATTATGTAAATCATAAATAGATAAGCTTTACTATAAGTTTTAATTGGTTTTTTATTTAAAATATATCTATAATTATATTACTAATTAAATATTTAATAAGAATTATGTTGAAAGTATATGATTAGAAATACTTTTAAACCTTTTTATAATTAAGTTAATTTTCTTATAATTATTATTTAATCTAATAGAAAATAAGTAGCTACTATAAAAAGTTGAAAATAAGATATTAAATAATCAAAAATAAAATAAGTATTAAATATTAGGAAAAATATAATTTACTTTTATATACTAAATACTAAATATGATTTTCAGGCTATATGTCCAAATTTAGCATTAACTCATTTTTTTATTTTTTTCGGCAGTTTTCTCGCAAAGGTCCCATATATTTAAAAATATTGATAAAAATTTAATATTAATATATATATATATAGATAATTATAAAATTATAAAATTTATTCCTTTATGGTTTAAAAATTATTTAAAATATTTTTTCTGATAAAGTAGTTTCTATAAAAAATTTACCATTTTCAATTTTTTTTAAATAAATTGTTTATATCAGAAATTAATAATTTTATATGAAACATCAGATAAAACATTATACAACGTATTAAATCATAAATGTTAAGTTAACAGTAACCCGTTTGCATTAAAGTATAGAAAATGTGTTGTAGAAGTTGTAATGCCAATGAAAAATCTATAAATTATCCATTTAATAAATTTCACTATAATGCTACTTAATTATAAATTCTTTATATATTCAAATCTTAGACGCAGTAAAAAAAAATTATTTTTAGACAGATCTGATTTATTTATAAGTTTTTATTTGTGTCCATCAGGTACATGCATAAAAAATCAATCATTATGTTAATCATTCATTTCATTTATTACATTGTTTTGGAAATCAAATAAATCTATTTTTATTTTTATGCAAATTAAATTTTTTTTTTTTTAAAAGGATTATAAATAACATTAATAATTCTTACAATTCTTTTAAAATTTTCACTTAAAATCTTTTCTTTCATCGTCGTTATCATAAACAAATTAAAGATGGCAGACATTGATTCCTCATTTCCGCCAGAAATGTCATTTGATAATTATAAACTATTATCAAACTTAATCTTAGTTTCATTTATATCTTTATCATTTCGTTCACCAAAATCATTTGTACATTTAGCAACATTAATTACATTAACGATTTGTTTTATGATCCAACCTATAATATATAGAGGAAAATATCCAGCAAACGAACATGCAAGTGTAGCAGGATTAGGGATAATATTCGGTTATAAAATGTGTTTTTGGTTAAAGAAATTTGCTTCATCTCATCCTGATGACGATTTTCAACCATTTTTCTATACGTTATTTTATTGGAGAAAAAATGTGACGAGTGGAAAAAAAGAAGATTTTCAACCCACAAATAAACAAATACTTCAAAACATTGTAGAAAGAAGTATTTATTTATTTATCAGATGGATCATTTATGAAGGATGTTTTAAAGTAATGGATATGTATACGGATATGAATGAAATTCCTTCTTCACCTTATTTCTTTAGGGTTCTTGATATGTTTAGAAGTGGGGCGTCACCTATTACGATGAAATCATTATTACTTTGTTCCTTTTATATGGTACTTGTTTATTTAATCATTAGCATAAATTACGATTCATTCCTTATGATTTCGGGAATCATTTTACTTTTCTTGAACGTAATATTTCCTACGGTAAATGATAAAGAAAGTTCTTTCTTAAAGGGAAAAGTCTTTTCGGTTAAAAGATGGTGTATTTCATTTTTATTTGATACGCGTTATATATTTGATTCACCATGGTTATCTACATCACCAAGAGACCTTTGGAGTTTTAGATGGCACACATTTTATAATGAAACCTGGAAAGGATTGGGTTATGTTCCATTGAGAAATTATTTAATCTCCTCACACGAGAATTCCGAAAATCGAAAGAAATTAGCACAAATCGGAGGAACCATTGGTGCATTTGTCCTGAGTGGTATATTACATGAATATTTAACATGGACAGAAATGAATGAATTAACGTTCGAACAATTTTACTTTTTTTTATTTCATGGTATAATAATTGTTATTTGGGAGTTTATATTTAAAAAAGAAAAGAATAACACACAGAGGGTTATTTTGTTTTTAATTGTGTTTTTAAGTTTACCTTCTATATCCGAACCTTTTCTCAGGTATAAGCAATGGCTATTACCATCAACTTTCACAAACATCAATAAGGCTTAATTAGGAAATAGTTCATTTGTAGAATGGGAGGAATTTTTTTTATTATTTTTTTCATTATAATCATCGTTATTATAATTTCCAAATTTATAACAATTATACGTTTAACAAATAAAAGAAAAAATTATATTTAAAAAGAAAGAAGTTTTCAACTAATTTTTTCAACCCTTTTGAAAATGATTTCTTTACTGCACTTTGATCCACCGATGATTCCATTATGGGCTTATAACACGTTGATCTTATCAACGCTAACAACTTTTATATTGTTCTCGGCTAAAAAACCATCGTCATATTTTCATTACGCATTTTTATTGATCGTAATGCTGTCCTTTGTGTCGATTCCAGTGATTTATAGATCAAAATATAAAACGCCAGATCAAAATATAGCTTTACCAGTAATAATCATAGCATTTAAAATGATCATGTGGCTTAAAAATTGTTTTAAATCAAATATTAAAGAAGACAAACATGTTGATTCATTTGGCAGAAATTTATTTTATTGGAGGCAAAATGTTACATTCGAACCGAAACCATCGAATATTCCAACAAAAGAACAAATTAATGAGAACCTTTTATCCCGAGTTTCAATCATCATGTTCAAGTGGATTTTATTTGAATTGTCCTTTAAATATGTTGATAAATTTTGTTATAATGTACCAAACGAGATTTATTTTTTAAGATTATTTAAGTGGTTATTCATGAGTGGGAATCCTCCTTTAAGCATTATACAATTCATTCATTGTATGATATCTTGTTTTTTGGTTTATGTTTATTTATCATTAAATTATGATATTGTACTCTTGATCTCGTCTTTGATTTTAAAATATTTTTCCAATAAAAATTTGTTAACGGAAAAACAAATCATTATAAGGGAATGGTGCACTTCACTAATCTTTCATACAAGGCACATATTTTATTATCCTTATTTTTCTATTTCACCAAGAGATCTTTGGAATTTTCGTTGGCAAGGGGTATTCAATGAATCATTCAAGGAATTAGGTTATTCACCTGTTCGTTCAATTACAAATAGTCATGCTTTAGGCGTTTTGGGCGCTTTCATTATAAGTGGTATATTACATGAATATACTTTATTAGTTCAGATGAACATAATTTCTGGCGAACATATGTTGTTCTTTTTATTTCATGGATTCATGTTATTGCTATGGGAACCCGTGATTCATCTAACCAAGAATTCTTTAGTCATTTATAAAAAAGTATTCATGTGGATGATTTGGATGATTATTGCTTGTGCTAGCGTACCTTCTTTTGTAGAAGTTTATACCAGACATGATCAGTACGTTATTCTTTCGGTGTTTACCGATTCTCAAAAGAACACGAATGTAGTTTAATTCACAATATAGAACTATTTCATTTTTATAATAAATCAAATCATTTGTTTTATTTATCGTTTTGAAAAACATAAAATTCATGATAAATGACCATCACGTATTATCAATTTAAATTTAATAATAATATATAATAATTATTGATGATTTATATATTAAAGATTTTAGATCTTATAATTTTAATTATACTATAGATCAAATCGTTTTAAAATAACAAACTTAAATTTAAAAATTATGATTGGGATAAAGAAAAGATGCAGAAGTCGGATAATATGGCTTGGATCCTAAAAGGCAAGATAAGAAGTCATATAAACCATATTTTTGCATAAAAACGACTCTTCGAAAGATTCAATCCAACGTATTAACATCTTACAGAAGAAAGGATTGCAAACCATGCCAAAAATGGTTTTGTGGGGGCATAACTACTTCAAGTTTTATCAAATATGAAGATAAAACTAGTGTTCCAAACCTTAATAAACGATTGAACATATGCAGGGTTGGGAATTTTGTATGTACTAGATAAATTTAACACTGTACTGTACTTGTACTAATTTTTATATTAATTATTATAATGTACTAACTGTACTAATTGATCATTGTACTAACACTGTACTTCACAACCCTGAACATATGCAATACAGTATGTGTTTTAGAGGCGAAACTATCAAGTTCAACAACATCCTCATAATATTATATCAATAAAGCTTGCTTTAATACAAATCACAGTGTTGGAAATTCAGCATAATAAATAGATTAAATTCGAAAAATCTTCTAATCGATTTTTACAATCCTCTGCATTTTTTGCATCGTAGTATATATTTTGAATTTCACGCGAAATAATCAGTTTATATAGCAATCTGATGAACATTTTGCTTGCGAAAACATAAATTCAGCCAATCTACTAACAACGCGTTCGTTATTCAAGTTTCATTCATTGTTATGACGAACGAAAACAATCTACTATTCATTACGCGAAAAAAATAGGGTTAATGTCGATGACGCGTCTGCCATTTGCTGAAGCAGGTATGAAATTCTTCTAGTCCAAAAATGGCACATCATACATACAACTAACAGTTAGTAATTTTAAAGGCAATGGCAAAGGTGTTGTGGTATGCATATTTAATAAAATGTCCAAACTTGGGATTCGAGATTTGCATATCGACATGCATTTTGTATCATTGTTTATCGGGTGCGATTGGCTGTGTTTAATATCAACACTTAATCAAATCACACAAATTTACTTAAAAAGATAGGTGGTAAATACAGGGCGGTGTGAAAAACGTCATATGATCGACATATATGGAATGGATTTATTATAAAATATGTAAAAACGACGTTTCTTTTCCCACAAAAGTACACAAATTTTGCGAATATTTCCCCCCTTTTTTATGTTTTGTCGAAAAGGTTGAAAAGCTGAAAAAAATAAATAAAAATATACATACATACACATTCTTCGTCTTAAGAAACCAAACTTTGCCTTCAAAAAGGGCCTTTTAAACCTTTATACAGTTTAAATATCGCTTCTAAATATTTGCCCTCATAATTATATATAAAAAAGGTTTTTACTTCTATTATATTTCTAGGTTTCCTGTAAAGATATGAAATTTTTAGATACAGCTTCTCTCGATCCCATAAATACCGCGTTGGTATTTGAGAACCCAGAGTGCAGGGTTGTGGGTCGAATAGAGACCTACTCCTGTAAGTAGGTGAAACAATGGGTAGTGACGGAGTGGTCAGTGCATTTTATTATTAAGAGAACAGATGCAATCCAGGAGAAACAAAATCTTTTTTAAAAAAAAAAATTCACTCTTTACATTTTATAGGTAAACTTGCAGGCGTTGACAAAAAACTTTATAAACATCTTGAGAGTCAATGGAATTCTGATTTTTCCCAAGGTTCAGAAAGTGTATCACCTGAACCTCTTCATTCTCTTCAAAATATAATATCCCCGTTTGGACCAATGAATCAACCTTCTTCTCGCAGGGTGTTGTTCAATTTAATAGCTACATTAAACGCGTCTTATCCCGATTATGACTTTTCGTTAGTATTTCATTTTTATTTAGTCGTATAATGGTTTTAATTCGTGCGTATTCTGATCACGCTTTTAATGTAGTGACATCAAACCTGACCAATTTACCAAACAACCATCAGTTCCCATGGTTTGCAACTATATAAATAATACCTTATTTAATTTAGGTCGTGCTTATATAGTTAATGATTTGAATTTATGGCAAGTGATAGACGACATCATTGAATTAGACGAATGTAGTGTTTACTCATTTAATCCTGATATTGATTCAGACCCAAATGCGGAAGATGGCGCCATGTATGTAATTGTGATCTTTTACCTTCTCAACTTACAAAGAGATACTCATGATTTTGGAATATTTTTCAGAGATTTTCTTCAAGTTTTAAAAAAAATTTAATATATATATATTTTTTTTCACATGGGCCTCTGTACACACACACAAGCTCATTTCATTGAATGATTATCTTTTCTTTTTTTCTCTAATTTTTGCTTTATAGATGGTCATTCAATTTCTTCTTTTACAACAAAAAATTAAAACGAATATTGTTTTTTGCCGTCAGATGTTTAAGGTATTTGTGGTTTTCACACTTTTTTTATACGCGCAAACGTCACATTAATTTTTTTTTCTAAAATAATTTTTTTTTTGTAGTATTAACGCACCCTTACAAGATGAGGAACCGTTGGATTCTTTCTCAGATTCGGGTAGCGATGTAATGTAAGTAAATTTAGAGAATCAGCCAATGTGCAAATTAGAATTCAATCATTCTAATATCGATACGTATATATTTATAGCGGGATGTCATATGAAGAATATGTGATGGGAGATATTGAAATGTAATAACAATGGTTTAAACCATAAACAAGCGACAGGTACAAATGACTCATAATATTCATGACAAAAATCTGTAAAACGTATAATAATCAAACGATTTAATTTGATATTAACAATTTTTGGATGAGATTATCATAATCTGTTTATTTCTATAGTAAAAATACATTATTACCTAGTTTATTTATATAAAAATTTTTAAACATTGATTATTTATTAGTAATAAAGTATATCTTAACTAACAAATTATGCACACAAATGTGAAATGTGATACGAATTTATAAATTACGGTTATGATCGATATACGTCATTCCCATTCCTCCGATTTTTCTTTTGTTTTTTTTTATTTTAATTTTGAGCTTAAAGAGCACGCTTATCAAAAAATAAAATAAAATAAAATAAAAATAAAACAAGCGCAATTTGATATCAAAGGAAAAAACCGTACCAATTTACGAAAAAAAATGTGTCATGATTGCACAAAATGAACTTACACAAAATTTATTTATTTATTTATTTTCTCACTGGATGTCAAATATATTAATTAAATGCATATTACCAAATCTTTTTTTGCAAAATAAAAAAATATATGAACTATTAGAAAGAAAATTCGATATAGAATTATAGAAATATTATATGAAACCTGGAACGGCATTATTATTTTGCCGATATAATCATGATATTTATTTTTTACATTCGTAAGAAAAACCGGTTTTTTAGAATTTATGAATTAAATTATGAAATCATTTTTCTTTTTTAACAAACAGTATGTGGCTAGTAAATTAATAATAATGTGGCAGCAAAAATTCATTATATAAAGGCACTTCATTATTTGAATAAAAAACCTTAATTCATTGCCACGTTTTTTTTTTTAAAAAAAAAACTAAAAATAGCTCAAACTGTTTCTCCGGGGTTACGAATCCGATAAAGTCTTTGATCGGAAAGTGAGTCAGCCATTCCAAGAAAATAATAATGTTACATTTTAATACATGACGTCAAATAAAATAAAAAAATTTTTCATCACAAAAATATAAATATGATTCATTTCAAAAGATAGTTTTCTAAAAAAAAAACAAAAAAAAAAATATTTTTTTGAAATTTTTTTTAAAAATAAATCATGGGATACTGGAGTAAAGATAAATATATGATGTGGAATCCTTGGGAATTCCCAAATCCGTTTCCACCTAACAGATCTCATGGACCTAATCTCCAAATCATAGTCCAAAATTTATATTGCTTAAAAATGAAACTAAAAACGAATGAAGATGTTAAAATTATTCCATCCGAGACTAAAAGATATCTTACATGGATGCTTAAAGCGGTTTGCTCATGCCAGCATAATAATGCAATTCCCAATCCAACGATACGTGAAACTTTAGACATTGCTCTATCAGATATTCTTGACAATATTATCCCTCAATTAGAGCTCGGTAATCCCCCACCTTACTTTCCTTCTTCCTGCATCACGTTAAACGATGACAGAGAAATCCTTATGATCTGTCAAGAATTGCAGAGTGATTTAGAAGAGTATACCGAAATTACTAATGATTTTTGCGGTATGCCGAGATTAACGATGATTTTGTTCACATTGTATCCAAACAGTAAATAAGCGAGAATCTTGAAAATTTCGTTTTTTTCACAATCGAATGACGACCAAAAAAAAAAACTGATAACGATGAAATCACAATGACTCTTTAACATATGATTTCATTCGATTTACGTAAAAATGGTTAGAACGTATGGAATTGATATAAAATTTATAAATTTTATTTAAGGACTTTATATGTTTGTTAAAATATGATTAACAATTGAAGGACATTGTAATATATATATATAGTAAATATGATTTTAACTTTATCTTTCTTTATAATGTATATGTTTTCTCGGTTCGAATAATAGAAATAATAATATAGACTTTCTTATATGTAAAATAATTTTTAAATTTCCCCAACGCGAATTAAAATCGTTTGATGTGTACAACACGTGTGATGATTTATGCTTCTGAACGAAATTTTTTTTATTGAATTTTAAAGGATTACTCATACCTTCCTTTTTTTTTTAATCGTTGGGAAGTAAAAAAAAATCTTTGAAAATTTCACGTGATTCACCAATTAAGCCGTTCGATCAAGAAATTCCGTAAGCTATGTATTCGTTAATCGTAAACCTTCCATTAGGTTCTTTTTAAATCATACATTTTTTATGAAGGACTAATTAGGGATAATACTTGTAATACAAATTATATTAGATTAGTAATAAAATAACATTGTTTTTTTATAGTTTATGGTTAGTGTCTTTTTTTTTTTTGTTCATATCAAAAATAATATAATAATGCGGATGTTGTGTTCAATTATTTTTCTTTGTTTAATTTAAATTAGATTACAAATAAAATTTTCTTCTTTCTCGCTTAATACACATAAATAAAAATTTTTTTCGGGGATTTACCCAAGTTTCTGGCTGCGGAAACTCATAACACGCTGCACAGTCGGAAAAAAAAACTGCGTATATGTGATTCGAACCATTTCAAAATCGAAAAAAAAAGAGCATTTCATGCGTCCCCAATCGTAGTTTGTACTCCGTACTTCTAAAAAAACTAATTACTAATTTAGTTAACATTTAGTCATTTTATAATCATCAAAAAAAAAAATTAATAATAATAATAATAAAATCAAAAAATGGAAAGAATTCAATCAAAACATATTCCCCCCAACAAAAATTGGTTTGTTCGATAAATAGAAATCACCTAATCTATTTGGTTAAATAAAGGAATAATCCATTTACTGATTTGCCAAGGATTATCTTATCGTATACGTCTTTTAAAGTTTGGCCAAAAAAATAAATTAATTGTAAACCGCAGTAACAGCCCAAATCCTTCCATGAGTAAATCTTAAATTCCATTTACACAAAACATCGATTATACTCATGTTCATCAACGCAGTATAACTAATAAAAATCTGATAAATTATCAGATTTCGGATAAATAAATATTCATTGTTTTGGTCCAATATGATCATAAGCTCAATTGTAAAAATTCCATAATAGTCACCAAATAATCCATAAATCCTTATTCGTTCACGTTTAACCGAGTATTAATAATCAAATTTTGGACGACGCAGTAATTATCACGGAGATGAGGCCGACTTGCAAATATTGCATCATAAGAATGTGGGTTCCATTTAGAATATGAATTGATGGTAATCAATGTTTCTTTGTGATTTTAAAATAATATGCCAAATCAAATCTGAGTTCATTCTATATCTGGACATATATTTATAATATTTTGCATATAAAGTAAACCATAGTTTAACCAATAGATTTGGACTGATATTCCCATAAAAAAAAAAAAAAAATTAAGCGAGTTGACGTAGGAAGTGATCCGCATACATCAAATTACGACATTTTGATTCTGTGGGATAAATGAATTTTAAAAAGACAATACTTAGCCTGTTACCAGGTTAGATTTTTATTAGCATCTTAATGTTTGGCTATGGACCAATAGAATGACCAATTATTTTTATTTGTTCGAAAAAACAAAAAAGATTACAAATTGACAAGCGACGATCATTAATCACATTAAATTGTATATAGAAAATCATTTTTATAATTAAACTGAAATTTGTGTTTGAATAAGCAACTAAATCAAGTAATTTAATAGAATATCAAATGCATTATTAAGTTGAATCAATATTTTCATGTTTTAATTATTTTTCTTTTCCCAAAATATTCATAAGTTTTTCGTCTTAAAATTAAGGATCCTTTTAAAAGTATGAACAAATACAATAAAAATATATGTAATTTTACAAAAGAAAAAATATTTTTTTCTTAGATTATAAAGATGGGTTTTCAGATAGTTCTTATGTAAAATTTAAAAATCAATTTTTTATAATAAAACAATATTTTTATTTTTATTTTAATAAAAGGTTTTTAATTATTATATATTTGAATTCCTTCTTTATTTATGCTAAAATAATGTATTTTATAGGTTTTTAGTATAATTGTAAAAAACATAATAATATCTATTTACAAAAATTAAGATATTTTAATTCTTTACATAAATAGAGATTAAAACTGGTTAATATTTACTCATTAAATCAGTTTAATCTGAATTAATATTTAACAATCTGGATATCTATATTAAATCACTCAGGTTATCAAACTAGATTAATAATCCAGCTAGGATTGTATATTACAAATTTAGATAATTTATTGAACTATATAAAATACAAAATTTGTATTAAAAAATATTAAAAATATAATAAAAAAATTAGTTTCAATTATTGAATATATAAATGATAAATAAAAAATTAAAATCTATATTAAGTTTTAATATAACTATTTTTACTTTATTATATATTGAAAATTTAAATTTTATAATTTCACATTTCCTTTTATCTATCATAAAAAAATACTTTCTTTCTTATGTTATTACAAAAAAAAATTCTTTGAATTTTTTTTATTATACTTATCTTCTATTATTACAAAAAAAATTTTTTTTTTAATATTACCTTTCATTTGCTATTGTTAAATAAAATAACTTTCGACCTAATGATTACATTTCGATGGAAATACGATCATTAGAACCGTCTCATTGAGAGCTTTCCAACGAATATAAAAATAAGGTTATTGGACCAATAGGAGCGGAGATAATTCGAAAAGAGTGAATGCTA